GTTAACCACCCACCGGAGTGTTCGCTTCATCCGCCACCACCGCCGCACCCTAGCACACTCCTCAGCCGCCGCTGAACAACCTCCTCATCCGCCGGCGAGCACCCTTTGCCGCTTCCTCCTCGACCTCCGCCGCACCGAGCGCCAGCTTCCTTCCCCGACCAATGTCGTCGCTCCCAAATACCCTCGGCAGCACCCCCAGCGCTGCCTCCCGACGCTTTCTCTCCGGCAGCACCGCGGCCTAGTACCCCGCCATCGTCCCTATCGACTTTGAAGTCAAACTAAAGATGAATGTGGAACATATCAGTCCTAAGATAAGGCATTGATTAGTTCTACTAACCACTACACTTTTAGAGATGATGCTGCTTTTTTCTTTGGCTGCTCTTGTTGGGCAAAGTTGAGTCTTGAGACACTTCCTAGAGCGGTCCAGGCCACTATCTTATCTATTCGTATTGTTGAAGGGGTGTCTCCTTTTAAATCTACAGGCCGAATTACTTGCTCCTCATCTATTGAAGAGTCTGTTGATCCCACATGTGAGCAAGTTGTGTTGCTTGATTCTATTGATTTTTTCCCGGGAGATGGACTAGATGGTTACCTTCCACTGCCAAGGAAAATTGTTTGAGTAGAATTAGATGTAAGATTAAAAGTTTGCATTCAAGGCTATGGGGGATCTGGTTGCCCATCCGGATCTGGCCTTGTTTACTTCCCTCCCCAGTACTGCAACAATAATCAGCGTACATGTCGTGTATGTGGCTCTCAGGTCGAGGTCACTATTGCTTGGTCCCGACTTGTGTGGGACAAGACATATATACTCTCCCGAGTGTAGTGTGCTATATTCCACATCTAATATGTTTTGCAAGTGGTATGTTAAAACATTGGAAGTATTTGTTTGTCGTCTAGCTATACAAGTAGGGTGATGTCCCAACTGTTTTCTATATCGACTCTACATTATGTTATTTGATCTGACTATAACTTATTTTACTATGTTTTCATTAATGATAGTTTTGTTCTGTGGAAATATGTAACGCCCAAGATGCAGTCCTAACTGCAATCCTCTCTAGAGTTAGAAGCACATCTCGAGTCGCCTCAACATATGACTTCATGACTTCAATGCATACACACATGGTCATATGTTGGAAACATCACAACACATACAAATACTAGAAGAGTAGTACAAGAATAATCATACTGCCTACAAATGCCATACATAGCTATATCACCAAACAGAGGTCACATGACCCAACATTACATTACAAGCATCTTCCAGAAGGCACGGTCCGAGTAGCGGATAAGAAGCAAATTGTCCTTTTTTTTCAGCAAAGTAGCAGGTTTGTTTGTCTACCTATTCGTGGAGTGGTCTCTGAAGGCTGCAACACACATGTTAATTAGTGGAAATGCCGCAGTAGGGAATCTGAT